ACTAAAAGGGCCTTGAGGTCTTCGTATAAACAAATCCGCCCCTCTAAATATTTTGTGTTTACTTTACACGTGCGTATAGATGTATTTAAATTATTTTAAAGTTATTATAAATACATAATTAATGCGATTTTATATTAATCAGATTTACATTTTAATGAGTCTTGGGTTTATATTATTTCTTGATTTAAAAAAGTTCAGTTATTACATTATCATATCAATTACATAAACAATGTAGAAGGGGGAAAGTCATCTGTAATGAAAGCAAGATATTGAACGGAAGTCAAAAGTATTATTAGTGGATCGATCAAGGTTTTGGAAATATCCAAAGCTATCAGAACACGTATTTAAAGTTGTCATATATAAAAGTTTTCAAATTTTATGTGAATAAAATTAGTAAATATAAATACAAGTTTTCATTTAATCATAAATTATCATTTTAATAATTGTTTGAGCTATTGAAAAGATTTCTTATATTTTCGCAAGGAATTAAGAATCTTGCATTTTAATTTTAAGTCTTCAATAATTATTTTCTTAACCCACAATTTTATATTCCCGATTATAAACTTTCGATTCGTAGTTCAAATATTACTACATAATAATAAACCGGTCTATAATTAGAATCCTTTTATTTGGTATGATAATTTCTTGGAAATAATGTACTGAACAACGATGATTTCATTCGTAAAATAATGAGTTTTAAACTGACTTTTAATTTTGTTGAGCTACATTAAAATTAATAACCTTGAAAACAAAAAAAGTTACTTTAATATCTGGAATATGAAAGGGCAAAGGACGATTGCCCCTTGGGATCTAGTAAAAAAATTTCATAAATTTTAATCGTAAAAGTGATTGAGATGCACAACCATACACCCTTATTTGTTTATGGAAACGCGATACGTGGGCGATATGCTTAGGGAGAATGCCCCTCGGGAGGTCTTTTACGGAAAACTGGCCCTTATTTAGGTGTTAAAAACGTGAAGAAACCCGGCAAACTCCACGTGGCTAGGCGCGAACCCACGACCAGTGTTCGGTGGTTCGGTACTTGGCCACTAATGGGCACCTTATACCCTCGAACATGAGGCAGTCTGTCTGTCTTTTTGCATTAATTCAATACAGTATTCTATAATTTATTTATGGAAAAAAAACCCAAAAAATTAAATAATTAAATATAAAATTTAGTGATGTAATTGTCTCCAAGCTTCACACCCTCCCCTGAAAAATTTTTTGTGAACGTCCATGATCTGCAACGTGTAGGTTCGTATTTTATGTTCTTGATTTTTTTTAAGCCATTCTAAGAGTAGTAATTCTGTCTTCTCTCTCCGCTGAGCAAAAGTAATGCGATTTTTATGGGTAAACAATCACTCGTTGGCAAATGACACGCTAATGATATGCCATCGAATCTTTTTAGCAGTATTTTATGTAGAACGTTGTCTTCATCGGAAGAAAATACGGTGAGACCAAAAATTATTAGAGTTCTGCTGATTGGACCGGAAAGTCACTTACGTCAGTTAGGTTACGTCACTGTCGTCGTCTCTGAATGCTGGAATGTTTCACAGTGAAGCCAGCTATGGGAGAACCGGCGGTTGATTGCGGCGGGTATACGCGAATTCGTCGTAATTCAGCTGCAAATTTACAAGCTCAGTTTGATTTATTCGGTTTCGAATTATCACCAACGTTCGAAGGTATTTTTATTTGATTTTACTTACTTTTTTTCCCATTTTTTTACGCTTTATTCTCCGCGTTGTCTTCGGTGTCCTTTGGCAGTAGAAGTATGATCGATATTGAGTGGAAAGCTGGTGTATACATATATACCTGTTTGATATAGCCGCATCGCCCGAAACGATTTTACCTACTATGCAACTGCTATAAGGATATTCTCGGATTCCCTTTATGAAAGGATTAAATTTCTGTTATCGTCTTTGAAAATTTTAATCTGAAACCAAGAGCCGTTATTAAAAGTTGAGAATATTGTTGATGTTCTGTTGGAATTAAAATATATATCTTTTCATCGGAGAGATTGAAAGAGAAAGTTTTAAATATTATTTAAACTTGCTTTTAAGTAGAATTTTATACCGAGTTTTTTTTTAATCTCGGGTTGAAAAAGAAATATTTTCATTTCTGACTTTTAAATGGCTTTTAATTAAATATGTTATTTATTTATTCGAATTTTAGTATTTTATTATAAAAGTAAACATGCGCTCTAAGTAGATATTTGTTAATTTCTTTTATCTTTTCTTTTCAGAACCTCCAGTATTCACAAGAAGAAAATCAGGTAATATTTAATAAATTTAAATAAATGTTTAATTTATTTTAAAAACAAATTTTTAAAGAATTTCACATGCAGTTTTTTAAATTAATTTATTTTTTTTATTCTGGTTTTTACATTAATTACAAAAATAAATTAACTGTTTATAACAGAGTATATACAAGATTTTCAGAATTTTATTCTGTTAATGATTGTATTAAATATTTAATCTACACAAAGATAATCAATGTCTCCTTAAATAATTTATTAAGGTTATATTTTTATTATTTAAAAATGCATTAGATAAGAAAAATTATAACAATATTAGGTAATGTTTCTATATAAAACTATTCAATGAAAATCAACAGGAAATAATCGTTTAATTTTCTTTCAAACATATCATTTAATGTATTATTCAATAAGATCTATTTTTTAAACTAATTTCCTGTATATTTGTTTAAAAATAAAACTGAAATGTCAAACTCAATGAAAAGTCAATATTGATTGGACATTGAAGAATATAGTTCTAAATAAAATTAATAAAAGTAAAAATAGAAAATTTTAAATGTACTTGTATAATAATCAGTTTTTTTATATTAGAATAAAATTGTGTTTAATATTAATATCATTCTTCTTTGTAGATATTGTCCCATTGTAAAAAAATTTAAAGTAGACTTAAAAATTTTAATTAAAATTAAAAACGTGGAAATCTTTTTCAAATAAAGAAACAATTAAAAGCTATTGAAATACATTGTTTTTCAAAGCAGTTATTTTTTCTTATATTTATTTAGTTTTTAACTTTTCAATTGTAATCTAAAATATAAATTAAATCATATTACATAACTTATATAGAGCTTTATTATTATTATTATTATTATTCAAAAAAATTGAGAAATAGTTTAATTTATTTCATATATTTTTCTGTACTATAAGTTAAGTACTGTGTTTCTTAAACTTATTAGCATTTACCATATTGTCTTTAATGTTATGACAATTTTTAATATATTATATGACACGTGAACCTGTACATTGATGATGTTACATCTCAACTTATCATTACAATATAAGCAGAAATTTTTGGTAGAACATAAAAAATAATAATGATAATAATTTCTTTAATTATATTGAGCATGTTAACTTGTTAAGTCTGAGTCTTGCTATCAAAGGATTTGCACATACTAACAATTTTTATTAAATCTAAGAATGCATATTATTTGATAAATAATTCTGATAAATCAGAATGGTATGAGGTAATCTGCAAGGGATGATAAAAAATAATTAGATTATTAATGAAATAAATTTGAATCAACTTTATTTATTTGATTTATTTCATATATAACTAACTTTTCACTTATTCCAGATACTAAGCAATTTAATATAAAAGTAATTCAAAGCAAAAATATATAAATGATTTAATGTTTATATTTAATGATATGTAATGCGAAAAATTATATACTTTCCTTGTTTGCTGTTTAAATTGAGTTAGGAAAAATTTCTAAAGAATTTGTTTTAAATGGGTATTATTCTATATTAAAATATAAACTAAATTGTACCAAAAATAATTAACTGATATGCATAAAGAAAATATCATTAATGATACATTTAAGAAATGAATAATTCACGAAATAACCTCAATTTTGTCTTTGTATGTCAAACACGTTACATTAAAAAGTTTTTTTAAATTGCTCTACTATGTGTTTTGTTTATCCCACTATTGATTGGTGTATACAAAACTAGGTTTAATTGATTAATAAAATATGAAATGCTTTATTAAATTGAGATATACAAAAACAGTTTTCTTGGAAATATTCCCAAATACATGCAATACTTGCTAAGAGTCTAAATGTCCAACTGGAACTACAGATTAAGATCATATACATAACACCTTTTAATTTCCAGCAAAACCTTAGTTAAACCATTAGTTAAAATAAAAAGAGTTTGCTGGAAATTAAAAGCTGTTAAGTATATAATTTTGATACCTTGCTAATATGACAGATTAGGTTCCAGACTGTAAAAATAAAGCATATATTGCCTTAAAATGAAACACAGTTTCTTTTTCACCTTTCAGTGGATATAAAAATCTTAACATATTAATGCTATTATTAAGTGTGCAATAATACTGGGCCTAAAAAATGATGCAAAAGTAAAAACAATAAATAAAAAAATCCTCTGAAAATCCCCTCAAGAGCAAGGCAAGCACTGAAAATAATAAACATGAATATAGTTGGAAAGTATCTTATTAGCAAAGCGTTATAAAGTGAAGTGCCTTAAAATGAGACATATCTGCACAAATATAATAGTAAATATCGTTCATTCACATTTTCCAATATTGAGGAGTATGCTTCTTAATAGGTAAATCATGATATAACTAAAACAACATTTCAAAAATTTTTTTACCCAAATATTTTAGTTAATGTCAATTTTTGAATTTCTGGATTTCTAATATCTGCAATTTATAAAGTCGTTATCTGTTAATGTATTTTAACAAATGCATTGGTATGTAGAATTTAATTTCTCAGGCTTTAAACATTAGTAAATTTTTTGTTTTTCATGAAAACAAATTTTATGCTTATTTGTTATATGTATATGTACTCATAATAAATACCTATACATACTGTGTTTTATTATAGTTTAGTGTAAGAAATATTTTTTTGTTTTATCTTTAAATATTTTAAACATTATTTATTTTTCTTAATATTGCTTTAATCTAAAATCTTCAAAAAAAGATTTTAATGAATTAGTTTTTTTTATGTAGTATTTGCTGAACAGTATAATCCAGAAGATGACGATGATGATGATATTGAAAGAGTAAGTATTTTTAATCAAATAAATTACTTTTGCAATTATAATAATTATGTTTACATTTTAATTAAAATGCTAATTAATGAAAATTTATTTTTATTCGTTAATATTATAAAACATTTAAATGAATAAATACAGTCAAATTCTGTTAATACAGGTTTGTGTGAAGTCTGAGTTAATGCAAAGTAGATTTGCAGTCCTGTGAATGAAAATAGACATTTTAATATTAATGAGTTTGGTTAATACAAAATATCGGTTAACACAGTATATAATAAGCTTGTCATGGCTTGTAAAATCAATAACAATTATATTATGTCATTTAAGTACACTTTCAGTTTCCTGAAATCACACAAGCCAAAGTGGAAAAACACAAGACACATTATAACCAGGAGTGCATTTTTTTTACTTTAACATTGACCACAATGCTTATGATATTAATGCAATCTTTGAGTATACATCTCTATTCATTTCAACTTGCAAAATTACTTTTTCTTATAATCAGTGCTTTATATGATGTGACAACACTGAACAGTTAGTTAAGACAGTTGTCATACACATTAGAAACTAGAAAATTTTTGTTTATTCCTTCTGCTTTGTGGACAAATAAACACACTATTACACCAAGAACCAGCACAAAACTCAAATAACTTTAATGAAAACTAATGTTTTCTTCCATTTTCATACCAGTATATCAGGGCAAATCCTGACCAAAATTTTTGGGCATGCTGAAAGTTATAGTAAGAATTATAGGCATATCTCTGGCACTAAACAATAGACAGAAGCATTATTTGGTCTGAATAAAAAAGTATGGACTTTTTTTAATTCATACTTTTTTATTCACATTTTTATTTTATAAAGCCCAATATATCTACACATGAAATATATTATAATGAAAAAGTATTAAAAATTTATGATAATAATTCAATTTTTGTGGATCTTTGACACTGAGGGCCCAGGGCTTAAGTCCTATTAATCACTATGTAGATCAACGCTGTACACAATACATGTATGCTGACTGGGTACCACAAGCTTTCAATACAATCTGGCCATGTTAAATGCTTCGAATGACGTCATGCACAGGCACTTGCTTGCCACAGCAAACCACACTAGCAAGTGATCAAGTTCTTGCAAGCATTGCACTGACTTAAAATGGCTAACCAATAGCTGTCAATGTAAAAGCAAACACAAATGATAAGAGTTTACACATTAGAATAAATTATTATTGGCATATTTGTTTTCATATAAAAAGTATATTGACAGTTAAAACTTTTTCTTAAGCATGTAGTGCATGCTAAGCAAGCCCAGAGAATTTGCCTCTACATACATACATGCAGTGGCATCCAACCANCAAGAAAAGAATTGGCCTGAAGAAGGACTCAAACCTGCAATGCCTTCTTACTGTGGTGCATTGCCAGTTATACTACCCAGATTTTTGTCCAATCCCTTAAGCATGCAGTGCATGCTAAGCAAGCCCAGAGAATTTGCCTCTACATACATACATGCAGTGGCATCCAACCAGTTTTCTAGTAGTGACTGCCTGTGGGCACTAAGCGGGTCTTTTAGCCAGGCCAATTCCACAATGGGATGATCAAATGGTGAGTGATGGGACTTCATATATCTTGGAAAGACCACCCCGAAGAAATTCTTTGAGTTTTTCAAACCTAGACCCCCAGAGCAATAGGCTAACATCTTAACTGCCTCGGCCATCTCATTGGCAAGGAAATCAGAAATTTTTATGATTGGGAGATTTTTGATAAAATAAATAGTTTATGGATTTATGAAATAGTCCTTATTATTAATTGTTTTCATAACAGAGATAAAACAACTGAATTACAATATTAAATACTGTAATTAGTTTGTAATTTTGAAATTAAAAATAAACAGTTTCCATTGAAATCCAAGCAAATAAGTTATTTTTAAATTTCTAAAGTTTTAGTTGTCTGGTTTCTGGATTCAATTTGGCAGCTAGGTCAGCCTATTATATCCATTAGCTTTAATCTTTGTTCTACCAGCTTTCACCAAGGTCAAAAGAGAGAGTTGATTCTTTCTTTAAGTCACTGTATTTTAATAAAGTATATGTTTGGAGTAACACATAAATTTATTTGTTTATTTATTTCTTTAAACATATCTAAACAAGATAAAACATAGTGAAGAGATGGCCAACCCAAGGCCCACAGCTACATTTGGAATGGCCCGCATGATGATGGAGTGAAAAAGAAAAGATCAATTATGGAAAGCAACAATATGAAATCCTTAAAATTATAAAACATTACAAGGGACAACTAATCAACATTAGCATAAATTTTGAAAACAAACAGTATTTTAATAATTTCTTTAATAATTAAAAACAAAATAAATCAATTTTAATAATTAAATTTAAGTTATTCCCTATAATTACATAAACTAACATTTTTATCATGTGCATGAGCAAAACAATAATTGACTGCAATGAGAGGAATGCTCTCAACCACATGACAACACTGCTATTGAGTCAGCTGTATCGATGTTGTGTTGACTTATCATGTGTTAATCTTTATGTACAGTTGCCAGCAGTTGAGATTTGACAGTAATTGTGTTTTATTTTTAAGTTTGAAATTTTTTGTTAAATGTAATTAAATTAGGATTAAGTTCTTACAAATGGCTCTCAGTAAAGCTAGAACATCTAAATGGAAGCATGAAAATGACATGGTGATACGGGCTTTCAGTAACAATTGGAAAGAACAGTTTCTCTTCACACAAGATAAGTCATCAAAACCTGTGTGTTTGATATCTTATGCCACAATTACAGTGTCAAAGAAATATAATTTGGAAAGACACTTCAAACAGACACATGTGGGCTTCAGCAGTAAATATCCTGCTGGATCTTCTCTTAGAACAGATTATATTTCAAAGAAGGTGGAGCTTTCATCTCAGCAAACTTTTTGTCAAAAGGAAGGAAGAAATGAAGAGCATGATGAAAATTTCATATGAAATTTCTTTACTTTTTATGTGGAAGAAAAAACACTTTTCAGGTTGTGAAATAGTTAAAGAGAGATTATCTATTTTTGCTGAAAACAGTGGTGATCCAAGTATTAAGAAGATGGCTGAAAACATTGCCTTTCCCATAATACAGTCATGAAAAGAGTGGAAGAGATGGCAAATGATGTATTGAAACAAATGAAAGTTGCTGTTGCTTCTTCAGAATACTTTTCAATTGCAATGAATGAAAGCTGTGATATCACTGATAATGCACAATTACTCATTTATGCTCAATGTGTTAATGAAAATTTTGATGTTACTCAAGATTTCTTGGTCTCTACTAACTTTCAACTACAACTACAGGTTCTGACATTTTTGAAGTAGTGAAGGGATGCATTGAAAATGCTGAGAATGATGGACAAAGACTTGAGTGGACTAAACTAGGGAGCATTTGCACCAATGGAGTTCCTTCAATAGTGAGAAAAAGAAATGGCTTTATTTCTCTGCTTGAAAAGTATTTGAAATGTAAGTTATTTAAATACCATTGTATTATTCATCAGGAAGTATTGTGTGCTAAAGAAATGAAAATCAGCCTTGTCATCGATTCTGTTACGACTGTGTCAATAAGATGCGGGTGTGAGCTCTCAATCGTAGGGAGTTCAGAGTGTTATTCGAAGAAAGAACTAACAAACAAGGAAAACTGTTGCTGCATTGCTCTGTCAGCTTTCAAAAGGAGAGGTGTTGTTTTTGAAACAGAAATGTGATTTACTTAAAGACAAAACTTGACTCTATGATTTAGCTTTCTTGGTAGACATCATAAATTATATTAATTTACTTAATACTCATTTACAAGGTGAAAATTGTTCATTTCCAACAATGTTCTACCTAATTGTTTATTCAAGAAGAAATTAAAATTGTTTTCAAGAAAATTGTTTCAGAAAAATCTTGACCACTTTTCCACTCAAAAAAGTTTTCAAAATTAGTATGATAATTTGGATTTGGACTTTAATAGGTATCATTCTGCCATTACAGCACTAACTGAGTCATTTGATTCCCATTTCAAATACGTTGAAGCTGAAAGGAATAACTTCACTCTGTTCATTAATCCATTCTCCATTTTGAAATAGGGAAATATTTTCACCCAAAATCCAATGGAAATTGTAGACATTAAAAATCACTCAGGACTTGTAGCAAAATTTCAAGAGTTACATGAATCACTGAATTTGTGATTTGAAAGCCTTCTGGAAATTTGTTTCTAAAATTGATTACCCAGAAATGCATGATGTCCTATGTTTTGTGTGTAGATTCAGTTCCACCTACATTTGTGAGCATATTTTTCAGCAATGATCTTTGTTAAAAATAAGTATCAACCTGTATGGCAGATATTCATGTGGGCCGTCTACTTCTGTTATCAATCTCAAAAATCAATCCTAATATTGAGAAACTGTTAGCTGAAAAGCAAGTTCAGAAACCACATTGAGCAGATTTTTAATTCGGATTCTTTGTTTTTTAATTATAATTTCAATTTTTTGTTCTCCTTTCAATAAAAAATATTTTTAATATTTTGTCACTTTTGAACTGATGCTAGTGGCTTATTTAATATTTGTTTTTATATTTACCTAACAATATATTTTAATATTTTTATTATCTTTGTTTACTTTTAATGTTATTTAGTTCATCTTTAACTACTAATTGAAATTAGATGTAGGGGATGGTAGGACAGTGGCCTGCCAAAATATTTGTGCCCATTTATACACACACATGTAAGAAAGGTTGGCCACCCTGACATAATGAAATAATAGGGAGAAAATTTGGCTTTTGCCATTTGATGATATAACCATTCATTTCTTGCAAAGTTTGCTTAATACACATCTCATTAATACAAAGTGCCAATTTTTAAGTCCATTCAACTTTGACACAGGTTCTGACTGTATTATCCTAAAAATATTTTATTGTTTTTTATTTAATTATTTTTTATACATGAAATTTCTGAAATGTTGTTGTTATTTTTTTTTGCCAAAATCAATAAACTAAAATGTGGTACG